TCTGTCTGTCTGTCTGTCTGTCTGTCTGTCTGTCTGTCTGTCTGTCTGTCTAAAAAGGCACTAACAATACAGTTTCAATATAATCATCACATTGCCTGTATAGACTGAATACTAAAGTCATCTCTAACCCCTTTGTACCATTTGATCAACCAAGCATACTCTATGGTTCAATGTAAAACAAATACTTTTACAGATAGATTAGTGACGTTACCTTGCAAAATTAATTCAGCAGTATCTTAAATGCTCTTTATCTCTTGCTCCAAACTCTGCTCATCAACATTATCTTAGATGGTCATATCCCGCATCCATAAACCCTATTACAAACAAGCTAAATACAGAATATTGTATACTTGCGTAGGTGATGCATCCTTAAAATAGTTTAACAAGACAGTTTAACAAGACTTTTCGCTCAGACCTCTTTGTTTTTCAGTTTACAGTGTGAAAGCAACGGACCATTCAGGGGACAGAAATGAACCATGCTGCTTCTCAGGAAATGGGTTAGTACCACAGTTTCATTGTACACCGTTATCTTGCAGGATCTCACGTGAGAAATATTACACATTTGGGGTTAACACTTGTGTTCATATTGGCTAAACAGACTCTGGGGCTGTAAGGTATATATGAGTTATGTCTGCTGTACAATGTATATATCCTGCAATGTCATTAAGGTCTGATTACATAGTCTGTGAGCTAGTATTGGCATCTTATTAATTGATAAATTTCATCCAAACAATATTGCATCCAGAGGAGACAGTCTAAGTTAAATAAACTGGATTGTCTCAATAGTTCCACAGTTATTATTATCTATCAGAGACCCTCACGGAAAAAGAGATTGGGATACTGAACCACTATGGTTAATAGATTTTCCCTTTTATATGTGTTGTTTATGATTTTTAAAAACAAGCAAGATGTGTTTTAGTTTAAAAATAATCTTAGTGTCCTCAACAAGGTGGTTTTTAATATTCAAACTAACTTCTTATGGTTACTTAAGATGACTTACTTGGTATCATTATTTTCAATCTGTTCCATAAACAGTGCACAAAGAATCTGTTGGGTGTGTAGTCATATGAGCTATGTTATCTTTTTTTTCCTGTAGTTGAGCCTGTAGGTGCATGTCGCAGCTTGTAGAGGGTCACTATGTGTCCTGACATGAGAATGCCGGTTTAATAAGCATCATATACCACAAGTACTGATGCTCTCCTCATTTTTCCTTTTGTAATTGCACCTGTTGAAGGCCTGTTCTAGGACCTACAACAAAACACAAAAGCAGAGAAGTACTTATAGAAGAATGTTGTGGCATCCTTCCAGTGGATTCGAGCCACTTGCACAACGAGTGCCAAGTCACACTGAAGCTGTTCTGGTGGCTGTAGTAACACCAAATGCCCTCATTTAGACACTTGATCTTTGTGTTTCCTTTGTTTTGGCAGCTGCTTGGCAACATGCAGTCCGACCTGCCTGCAGATTTAATCTCTGATTAATTGTTGCTGAAAATGTTTTGCAAGCATTTGGAATTCATGATAGTGTCTAATTACGTTTAAATCTTCTTGGTGAACGTGTAGAAGTTCCTCAAACCCCAAAAAAGAGGCAGAGAATGCGATTGTAACCATCCCAGAGGTGAATAAGTTCACATAGTCTATGCCAGTCGGTGGATATGAATGTAGTGATAGGGTTATTATGTTGTAATGAATGGGGTAGCCTCTTGCTCTGTAATTCGCGCACCAGCCAAGACTGCAAAGAAGCTACATGCTCAACATTCCTGTGCTTGTTTGTGTTTGTGTGAGTGTCTGTGCACATCCCCTATGCCTGTACGACAGAAGGGGAACCACGGTGAAGAGCGAAGGGAATCCCGCAGCCTTTCAAGTGTTTTAGATTAAGGACAGTTGACGTGTCCCTAGCGGTTCTGTTTTATTATGTCCTAGTCTATATTTTGCCTAACCAGGATCCTTTGCCTTTTCCCTATAGTGTGAAATGATGTGCTGTGGTAAAGCATGTCACACTGAATTAAAAAGTGTTTTCCTCAACTAAAATAATGAAACAATGGAAGAAGAACACAGAAACATACGCAGAAATGAAACGCTGAAACATGGAACTGACACTATAAGTGTAACATTTTGAGATAATGTGCAATAAGAGATAAATATACTGAGTAAAACAAGCTCGATTCAAGGGGCAGATACATTAAGAGAAGTGTAAAAAAAAAGACACAGAATGTGTTGGTCTTGGAGAGATTGGAGGCCAACATAGAGAGGACTGTTGGTCAGCTTTCCCAGGCTATGCATCAGGAAGGCTGTATTTTTTACAGCATGACCAGCGCATAGCCTTTTCCTGGGGAAATCCGAGACAAAATCAAGAGAGGCTGGTGTGGGGAGGGAGAGGAGAACAGGAAAACTAGCCCTGGGAAGGAAGGGGGGAGGGGGTGAGGGAGGGAAGGAGAGGTTTAGAGGGGCAGAGGGGCAGGTATGCTGGAGGCCACACAGCATGAGCGACTGAGAAAAAAGCTAAGCTCTTTGGGAGGATTCGGTGGAATACAGGGATAAGCAGACAAATAAAGAGCAGAGAAAACAGAAGTGAAACACACTTGCATGCACGCTTTTTGTTTTGTTTCCAAAGGTGACCTAAAATACATCCTTATTGTCCTCTCTTGGGGTTTTTTTGGCCACAGATTGAACTGGAATGCAGAGCTAATGCTCGGTTCCTCTGCCGTCCAACCAGCCTCAGCTGTTAATCCACTGTTATGGCTCCTCTGCTATGCCTGTTTTAGCAAACAATATTTCCAGTATATCACATTACAGATAAACTCAGATTATGGTGGGACACGGAAAGACAACAAATGTGCTATTTTTTAAAATGATTTCTGTTTAACCATTTTTTTGTAAATGCATAACCAGAATGTCCTCAGGGACAGCATGTCAGTACTGTACCAATGAACACAGCCAGGTTGGTCATCAGAACTTAGCAGGGTTTTTTTTTAACATATAAAAACAATGGATAACGTTTATAATGAGTGAATATGTATTTATCAGTTTCTTCTACACAAATCATTGCTCTACCTAACTGACCCCTTTAGAAAGCCATCAAAGGCCACAAGTGGTTAAATGATATGATAATCTTTTAATTTTTACTTTTCTTCCACTTTCTTCTTCTATTCCACTGCATTCCAAAAGGAAACGTATAGGCCAGTAGCGTGTTACATTAATCTGACCATCCGTCTAACAAATAAAAATGTTTAATATGAAACTCAAAGGCATGCACAAGTAGGAAAGAAAAAGCAGAGATTCATCACGACGTCTGTCTAGATTTGAACTTTTACCCATGGTTGTAAATACTTCTTCCACAGCTGAAAATAACTTCAGTAGCTTTGATTTCTATACATGTCAAAGGTCAAAGTGAAATCCCACCTGTGTGTGTGTGTGTGTGCGTGTGTGTGTGATATGCACTCAGGTCTTGACCCTGCCTTGCTGAGAACCGAATTCTTTGAGCTATGGAACAAGAAGGATCTGCAGACGGTAAGAGTCACTCTCCCAGCGTGTGTCACATCCATGCATGCAACAATCACTGTGTGTGTTTTCAAAGGAAGTGCAGGGGAGTTTTAGTGTGTGTCTCCTTGCAGCACTTGCACAGGAAGGAGGAAAACCGTGAGAGATGCCAACATATTTAAATGAAGTTCACCGATGTGTGACTGCGTGTGTGTGTTTGTTAATGAGGAAACCAGACTCTCTGTCACAAGGAAGGAATTTGCGTTGTTCTGAATGAACTTGAGAAGAGGATATTGAGTGGATGGCATCTGTTTTGGAAATTAAGACACAGTGCAAGGCATTTTCACACAGATATTTTTTTCTCATGAAGAACAATTCTGACACGGGGCATCATTCTGACAATGGTGCTATGTTGTTGTTAAAACCCAAAATGATGATTTCCCCTTTTAAAACGGTGAAATCATTAAAACCATTTGCACACGCATGTTTGGAAGACTTGAACATTCCCTCGTTCCTCATAGACAAAACACGATGAAAGAATAACCAGCACCTGCCCATGACACAGCTTTTAAAGAAAACTTTTCAACTAAAAATAGAATGCGAACACTATGCAAGTCTCCACTTCAACTATTTATCATATTACAGTACATCAAAAAAGTTTGATTAAACTCTTGGCATCATAAATAAAATACGGACCACACTTTAGGGTTCTTGAACATCAGAATTGTCCCACTCTCTCTTCCCCTCTCTACCCACAGCTGCATTTGGCAGCCCTCCAGGGTTTTTCAAAGCTGTCTGAACCTCTTGGGGGTTTACTGACAATCCTGGAGAGCTGTCCAGGCAAACAGAGGGGTCGGAGTCACACTTTGGGGCATCACATCCTCATGGAATTCCAGACATGGATAAAGGAACATCCTCAGGTAAGTGAGCTTGCTTTTAAAGCCATGCTCCTTCTGATGCTTCTGCAACTTAAGTCCAGAAAATGCCTATCCTGTTAATTTTGAACTCTTTAGTGCCCACCCACAAGATAGAAAAAACAGTCGTATTGAAGTTTGAGCTTTTTGCCCAAAGTTTTCCTTGTGGTTTCTGTTCATTAATCAGGTTAAACTGAGCTCACTCCCTGCACAGCACGCAGGGGCGCTCCAGCGACAAGCGCTTGGCTTTCTCACGGACACCCAGCCCAACTTTGCAGACAGCCTCATTAATATCTACCAGCTGAAGTCTTTGGACCCGTCTGTTCTACGTTTGCACATTGTGAAGCTGCAGGCCTTCCACTGTTACAAAGAGGTCAGCGCCGACTTTAATGCTAACATTGTTTGCACAAATAAATGTCACATTCAACAATTAAGACAAACGTTGGAACAAAAAATCTGCTTTTGTTCCCTTATTTTATTTTGGCAGGCTGCCATGCTCGGCATCAAATTGGAATTGCAGAACGAACTCAGTCTTGAGGAGGTGAGAGCAAATGTAGCTGTTTATTTGTGGACATTTGCATCAAAAGACTTAGTTCTGCAATCCTGAAAAAGTCTTTTTAAGTCGTTAACTTCTTAAATCGCACTCCCCAACATTTCTCTGCAGATGTGTATACCACTAATCTTCGAAGATAAGTTGTCTCTAGCAGAGTCCTATGTCACAGGCCACCCTCAGCTCCAGAAACAGCTTGTCAAACTTCTGGACTCCTGGTGCCACCCCAGCTTCAACATTGAAGATATACACGAGTAAGCTACCTGACTGGATGTGTGTACCTGTACCATTAATATGTTGCCCTTTCAACTCAAATGAGTAAATGCATATATGCCTCCACAGGCAGCTCTCTTCTTTTTCTCTGCCCAGAAATCACGCAGCCCATATGCAGCCCAAAATGCTCACCAGACATGTTATACGACTCGTGGAGAAATTCAAGATTGACCAAGGTGGGTGACTGGCACATGTCTGCTTGCTTTTTGTTTTTTTGTTGTACATCTTTGGTTTATTTAATAAGTTAATAAGTTTCATAAGGTGTTTGCTTCCCCCCCCCTCATAGGAATGTGTCCCAATGCTTTGCACAGGAGGAGGCTCGACTCTCTCCGTTTCCTCATGTATAAGACGTTTGTGGATGTAAGTGATGCTACAAAGACTATAGTCCTCAAAGTTCAGAGCCGACTCCCACATAGGCCTTCATAGGTTTAATGAAAAAATTATGGTGCATTCAGTTTCATCCCTTTCAACCAATCTGTAGCAATTAGGCTGCACACAGTAAGTTATTGTGGAGTGTGTACACTTCAAACAAAAAAAAAACTGCAGATTTTCAGCTGAGTACATTACACAACACAACACACCACATCCATCCATCCAGCAGCTTTGGTGTTTTTGACAGTAATCCTGTGTAAGCTACAGAACAGGGAAGGCAGCATTTAACCAACTGATTTGCTAAATGTGGTGAGAAATAAACAACATTTTAGATGAGAACTTTTTAAGGATCTACTTTTTCCCATTGTGTGTTTTTTTCTTTCAGAAAGGGATGACGGAAAACAACTGGATTGACCATGTCCAGGTAGGCTTTTCTGTACGGTTTGTCCTCAGAAAAATATGTGTAGGCTTACAATGCACAGTATATTCTACATTGTATTGTCTGTTCGAAGAAGGTCGATTTTCAAGTGTGTGTGTTCTGGATGTACAGTATGTAGTGGCAGATGACCCTGAGCTGCAGGTTCACTTGGTTGAGATGTTGGTGAAATACTGCGGTCTTGAAAAAGCCTCCCAGTGGTCACTGAGATACAAAATCCCCAGACATCGGCTCCCCTACGGGGTATGGGAAAAACAGCAGGAGCTACCACCTGATTTACAGTGAGTTGACAGAAACATGCAAAAACACATCCGATTACACAATTTGTGGTATGAAAAAAAACAAAAGGGGGTTAAGTTGAGTTTTTAGGTCAAAAGTACAATCTGAAGTTTGGGTTTGTTCACACTCAGTCTGGCTTTCTTATCAACTTCCTCAACAGCAGATGATTTCCACTTTCTTTTAAAGTGAAGATGTATTTTCTTTTCTTTTTTTAATTGTGTAAAGCTCAGTCAAGATGTTGATTCAAATCATATTGAGCTCTTTTGTTTAGCTTTGTATGTTTCCAGACTTCAGGCTTTTGCAGGTTTTTCCTTTTTTTCAGCCATACTCTCCAAACACGATTAATTTGAAGAAGTATTCGGGATCTTTCATTAAAAGATGCACTATTGTTATTGTTTAAGTTGTATATCATTTATGTATCTATCAGTTAACAGCAGCATGGGCCACTAAAAAGTCAATAATTCATGAACAATACATTTGTTTTTATACAGCAGTATGTGAAATTTTCTTTTTTCTTTCCTTTTTAATTAAATTTTCCAGAGTAACCTTCCTAATTCATAATTGTTGTAGATTTTTTCATCTAAACCCATCTTGTTCCACAGTCTACTTTTGTGTCGCATTAGTCCAGGATTTTTCTGTTTTGCCCTTCTTTTTTTTCTTTTTTACTTTTCCTTTCAAATACAAACTGAAGAAAAACATCAAAACCCTAAACACGCCCATGTCCGCTTTGCTCAGACAGATATGTCGGAGTGATTTATCACAAATTGAGGAGTGGGTGCCATCTGAGTCCAAATTCTACCAAGTGCCTCTCACCAAAGACAAAGTCCACTTTGTGGACTCGCCAGAGGCTCTCAAGAAATGTCGAAGCATTGTTTTAAAGGTAGAAACGCACATCATCATTGATATTTGAAACATGTGTCTGTATCCTGATATGACGTTGCCTGTTTGTCTGCATTCCCAGGAAGGTGGAATAGTCGGTGTGGACATGGAGTGGCAGCCTACATTTGGCTGTGTCTCTGCTCAACAAGTGGCTCTAATACAACTTGCTGTTTTTGATCAAGTTTTCTTATTAGACCTTTGCGCAAGAGAATTCTGTCAACACCCTGAGACCGTAGGTTTCATCAGAGCCTTTTTCTCTGACCGGAATGTCCTAAAACTGGGTTAGTAAGTGTTCAGAAACGACAAACTCATTTTTATCTAACGATTTAACTTTAAAATGTCATTGGATCTTTACATTTTTCTTTTTTTAATCAATTCAGGTTATGGCATGTCTGGTGATCTCAAGTGTCTCTTGGTCACCTGGCATCAGTTATCAGAGGACCCTATGAAGATTGAGGGGATGCTTGATCTTCTAGGCGTGCACCAAAAGGTAAAGCTATCTCATCGTACACAATGGGCACAGGCAACAAACGATCAGCACTCTGATGTTTGTCATTCCTCTTTTATATTCTCAACAGGTTCAGCGTAGTAAGGCCAGAAGAACTCACAATGGCCCTAAAGAGGTGATGGTAGGAGAGGACTGTGCAGAAAAAGGCCTCAGTCTGCTGGTACAACAAGTCCTTGGAAGGCCCCTGGACAAGACAGAGCAGATGTCCAACTGGGAGAAGCGTCCACTACGCATGAGCCAAATTAGATATGCAGGTAAGGAATTATGCGTGCACAGACACACAATGACTGAGAGCCAGATGGTCACTGTTCTCTTCTCAATAGAATATCAGAGATTATTTTGTTATCCCCTGACAAACGGGGAACCAGTAATTCACCCCCCTCTTTCTCACTCTCAACCCTCTTTTAGTGACAGATGCCTACTGTTTGTTGGATGTGTACTCGGTCCTTTCGGACAATCCGGCAAATTTTGGGCTGCCACCAGATCTGCGCAGTGTCTCCACAAGCCAATCGGAGACGAGCAGAGAGAAGAAGAATAAACAGGGCAAGAAGACGAAAAATGCTGCTGGCAAAGAGGTTGGGGGTCAACTGCCATTTCTCCATATTTGACATGATATGAGTGACTGAAAATTTACAAAGAATATTAGATATTTTAGATGATTGCAGAAAAAAAAGTAAAATCAAATCATGTCTGCTTAAAAATAACCTGGAATGAGGAAAGCTAGTTGATAGTGGTTATCTGCCATTAGTTGTGATGTAGTCACTGGTAGATGAGTGACTCCTGTGTTGCAGCAGTTGTTGAGTTACCTCAGCTCTCATACAGACAGTTGGCTTGGAGAAATGTGTTTCAGTTGCTCACAGTAGCTCTTTTTTTCTTGAAAAGCAACAATGCTAATTTGAGAACTCGTATTCCAGTGATAACCTGTGACCTTTTATGCGATTGGAGAATGAAAAAAGAGAATCCAGCTCAAGCTGAAGGCCAGGGGTTTGAGCATCCAGCCTGCAGAGAGGGACAATATGTGTTTGACAAAGGCACTTCAGCAGTTCCTATCAGCTCCAGGGGTGCAGTTGTATAACTCACCCTGTGCTTTGACCTCCCTGAATTACGGTGCAAGTGAAAAGAAAATCCTCCTATAGGGATCAGTTAAGTATCACATTATTCTCTCTGTCCATTTAGGAATGTCAGGGGGCTCAAAGGGTCAGTCTCCCTCGTTCTGACAGTGAGAAAGACCTCCTGTGTGGTGAGAAGCCTTCAAAAGATTCCCCCCCTGTACCCCCTCAGCATTTGCGGGTGGTGTGTGACAATATGCTGCAAGGACTGGGAAGGTACCTGCGCTGTTTAGGAGTTGATGTGGTCATGTTGGAGAACACTGACGATCACAGGGTAGCAGCAAAGGTTTGTCAGTCATTTATCAACCAAATAAAATGTATTTTATAATTTAAGACAAAGTGAAGTTGTCTGTGTTCAGTTCATTTTGTTTTGGAAAAAGCTCTATATATGCCTCAAATGGCTGTATGCGGTCATCATTTTGGCCTTGTACCGTTATAAGCAGCAGCCAGTGCAGGCCCATATATGATGGCATCATCCTTTTGGAGCATTATGGAGTCTCAAGTATCCCCTTACACTGAGCTGTCAGGCTGTATCACCTAGTCACAGTTTTTGTCTATGTAACACGAACCACGAGTTAGGATGCTGTTTCTAGGGTGTCTGATTTCCTATATTTCCGGTGTCTCCCCACTTATAGAAAAAGCTCTGAGATACCATTCACTCCCCTGACTGTTGTCTTCTATAAGTTGTTGTGAATAAGTATGATAAATGCTTATATTTCTTTTGTTTGTTTTTTGTAGACCTGCCTCTGGGTCAACACATGTCATTTTATATGTTTTGAGCTACGTGCAGTATAGAGTTACTTAAATACCACTGGAACATAAGTACCATCATGTTACTGATACCACACAAAAAGTCCTTTATGATTGGAATAAACACTTGTGCTCCTGTAAATAATGCTTTATTTTGCTCTGTATTGTTTTTCAGTTAGCACAAGCTGAAGGACGTGTCATTCTCACATGTGGGCAGCCGTTCCAAAGCGTGCGTACACACAAACCCAAGCAGAAGCTAAAATCTTCAAACTCTGTTGGTTTGATGTAGATGCACAACTCATATGTTTGATCATGCACGTTAGTTGTATCTTTTCTTCTCCTGTAGTTGCGTTCCCAGGTGGGAGAGGGCCGTTGTCTGTCCCTGGACTGTTCAGAGAAGGCCAAAGACCAGGCTGTTCGAGTCCTGAGACACTTCAACGTCCGGCCTACTCCCAGGGACATCTTCAGCCGCTGTCAGGTACATCTGCATGAGAGTGTTTTACTCATTGTTAATATGATGAGTAAAAACTATTTCATGGTATCATGAGTGTTAAATTGGCAGTTTAAAAACCTTGCTACTGAAAGGTTTATAAAGGCACAACTTAATGTACATTTGTATGTACAGTGGGTCCAAAATGACAAAAATGGCAAAAGTGTTTGCTTTGGTTATACATCTGCTTTTTTATTGTGGTTTATACAGAACTTTCTGTGAGAAAAGGGAAGAAAAGTTCTTATATCAGATTATTTTGAGCAACATTAGTACTTGGGAAGTATTTGTGTGGTTTAAAAACATGCTGACTGAGTTAGCGACGTTCCAGAATTATGAGGAAAAAGTGGTGGTTGTGGTATATCGAAAACAGAGTGGAAGCAGTGTGGATTAATAAATGGTGGTGGGAAATCTACGGAGTGTGAAAATGTCATGTTTGCTGAGTTGTCAGTGAGGCAAATTGGAACCTTGACTCGTTGAACTGTGCTGGGGATACGAACAACTCTGAGTAGAAGAGAGAAGCTATACACATAATGAGCGGCTGGTAGAAATGGGCCAGATTGATGTAGAAAAAAGAAGAAAAAACACAGAACACCTTTAAACACAATTATCTGGAGTTCTGTTATGACCTCACTGTATGTATGGGTTGGGAGGGACTGCATTTCCCAGCTGACTTTGGAAATTCTTGTGATATTTTAATGGAGGTTGCAGGATGTGGTAAGTTCGGAATTTCAACAATTATTGTTTTACTACCAGTCTCAACATGCGCTGGTGGTGGAAATGTTAGGAATTGAAATGGGGGAAGAAAAGGTATTGGTAACACAATGAGTGTAAAGGGGAAGACTTGAACTCAAGATGTACAGGAATTAAGCCCAGAAAAGAGGCCCTGGATGTATTGAAAAGGTCCACTCCCCTTTCTTCCCCTTCACTGAGGTCAGTTCGTGGAGGCTAAAAATCCAGGACATCCGTCTCACCTCTGACGCTCTCCAGCTGCTGCCTGGAGATCCTAAGATGTTCTTTGGCCAGAAGCGATATAAAACATCCTGTTAGACATCCTTGACAAATTGTCCAAAGAGAGGCAGCCAGTAGCCCCCCTTACCAGGTGTCCTAACAACCTTAACTGACTCTTTTCAATGTGGAGGAGCCACGGCTCCCTTCGCGTTCACCCCCCCAGGTATCTCTGTCATTGCCTACATGGGCACTGACGTTCCCTGGAGAACTCTGAACTCTACATAAGTATGTAAAGATAAGTCTCCATAGCTAAATAAGGCTAAGATCCAACTTTATGGTGAGGTCATCGTACTTTGTTCTGACAAAAAAAGTGGAGTATTTCCAGATGGAAGGAGATACTTGCACTCTGGTAAATATTTATTTTAAGGCTTGCTATCATCATTGCCACATTGTTGTTGTCCTTTCAGTTTTGTATACGTTTTGTTTTCATTCAGTTAAAGTCAGACATACATTTAGGGCAGCAGCTCTTGCTGGGTGCTCAAACATAAGTGAGGCAGTGAGCTGCCACAGTTTATTATTAATGTACAAAATCAAGCATTTGTTGTGTGTGTTTTTAAAAGTTTGTTTAAATATTGGCACTAAATTTTGACATACACAAATTATAAATACATTTTTTTTACTGTGTTTGTGGTGTTTAAATGTTTGTTCGTTTTTATAAGTAACTTGGCTGCAGAGGTCTCTGTGGGTGGTTGTTTGGATATGTGTGTGACGAGGGCTGTGTTTGTGTTTGCGTGGTGGCGACTCTTTCCAGGACAGTTGCTCACCTTGGGTGTTCTGGGCTGCTCCTGGTAGGGGGGCCAAAATGTCTCGGCACACTCCACCGGCTGCATATCTGTTACTAACAAAATGTTACAAACTGGGATCAGCTTCAAGCTTCTTCTTCTCTTAATGATTGGATGATGGCACAAGCGCACCCCCAAATCCAACTTTCCCGCACACCAAATGGTCATCTACCCTACTGTTAGCTAAGGCCACCCCCAGTGCCACTATAGGGACACATCACTCAGGTCAAATGGTACCTCTAAATGAAGGGTCATGGTAAATCCACAGCAAATGCGAGTACAGATGTATCCAGTTGTATAAAAAAAACTGTTTTTGAAGTTCTGAAATAACTTAAATTCCGTTTCTCTCAAACATTTTCACTGTTATAAAATGCTATTTCACATAAGGCCAAACCTGATTAGCGAGCACTTAAAAAAAAAAAAAAAGTTGTTTTGAGTTGTTGCAATTCAGTTAACTTGAATATTCCACTTACAAAAAGCCAAAAACACCTATCATCACCTGTGTGCACGTCTGTTTTTTGCAGAGTGAGAGATTGTAGAAATCTCTCACAGCCCTGGGGGCAGCTCCCGGCCCACCCAGGGAAAGTTAACCCCTTTGTTATCTGATTGTAAGGCTTTCTGATTAGCAATGGATGGGTCAGTTTCCCTCCTTTTGTCTTTCTTTGTCTCCTTCTTATTCACCTACACATGAATGTCACAGGGAAAGAGAAGTTAAAGAGAACTGAGATGAGATTAAGGCAGATTTCACATGCATGCGTTGCATTTACGCTCAACAGTGGGAAGGCCTTACATTTGGCATTTGATCAGACATCATGATCAGTCACAAGAACAGATAATCGAGTTGTTGATTTTTTATTTTATTTTTTTACCCCGGCGCTGCTTCTTAAAAAAGTGAACAATTCTTTTTGTTAAATTTAGCTTCTTTTTTTTCTCAGCATTCCACCGTTTGATCGGTAAGATCCTGGTCAATGTATAAAGCAGCAAACAAAGCACTGGGTAGAGCATCATTAAGTTATTTAGCACAATTAGCCCAGTGAAGTATAGAATTACAGCCAAAGGCTTAAGGACTCTCAAGTCCAAAGTACAGAAAATTCAGCATAATGTTAATCTATTCTAGACAGAGAGTGAAACAGTAAAGGGAAATTTCCCCTAACAAAACAGAAAAAACCCACTGATTAGTACACTTTCAGATAAAAGAGTCCAAAAAAAGGCCAGGTTATTCAGATTTTGACTTGTTTGTACCTTTAACTGTCCAAATGTGTTCCATAAAGCACGCTTTTTTTCTATTTCAAGTCCCCTTATATCTGACTAAACTGTTATTTATGTTGGTTGATCACTCTTTGTAGTTCTTTTAAAATCTCGTGTCTCTCAGGTTTCACACCTCTACCACACAGATGGTGTTTAAGAGGATAGTGAGAACCTTATGAATGCTGTTAAAAAGTCAGAAGCATTTAATTATTGTTTGTAGTTCAACCTAAGTGTATTAAATTATTTTGTTCATCACATTTATTTTGGGATGTATGAAAATTCATATATATTCCCTTTCATTTGATCATTTTAATTGGCTATATTCCCCCAGCTTTTGTACTCCTTGAGGACTTATAATGGTTGAGGGTTGACTTGGCTTCTTTTGTCCCTTGTACACTACCTAACCCTTTCCCCACCACAAATGCCTGCTGCACCTATACTTTCCATGCTCGTAAACCCCCATGTTCACCACTGGGTTACCGCGCTTTCATCAGAATGGCCACAGCAGCCTTTTATAGACATGTGGAAATAGCCCGAGAGACAGACCTGAAACCAACCAACCAATGTAACAAAATAATGTAAAGTTTATTCAAACAGCCCCTTTTGGGAGCCGGGCTTCACAAAGGCAGTTACAAAGTTGAAACTTGACAAAAGCCGCACACCTGTATCCGTGTGTGTATGTGTGTGTGTCTACAGAAATAACCCTCGGTTCAAAAGTCAAAACCGACAAACTTGTCCTGATACTATCGCACTGTACACACAGCCATCACAGCACCTTCAAACGCACGTAGACTTGGCCGCTGCTGCACACAGACTCGATGGAAGACACTGTTGCAGTCGAAGCACTGGTTCCCACGCACCAGACTACTGGGGAAGTGAAAACAAGAGCAACAGGAACCGCCACACTGTGAGAGGGAGGGGTGGGAGAGTGGAGGGTGGGGGTGGGGGGAGATGGAGGAAAATGAGTGTGAAGCAGAGGTGATGGAAGCTATGTAAAAAGAGTCCAGCCAGTGGAGAAAGTGTTGGGCCACCAGATATTGAAATAACAAAACAGAAATGAGATGGAGACGTTGAAGTCCGTTAGTTATTTTGTGTGTGTGTGAAGGAGGGGTGGTGGTGTAGTTTGTGTGAAAGTGAGATGAGTTGAGTGGGGAAGAGAGAGTGAAGGCAGAGGGGTGGTGGAGAGCAGGGCGATTGAAAGACTTGTCTGTCCTTTGATCTACGAACGGAGCCGTGGGCTGAGAAACGGAAGGAATGTGAGAGGCTGAGACACGTTTAATGTTAACCCTCACTGTCTGCATGTTCTGTGTGTGTGTGCGTCTGCGTGCACGGCTGAGAAGGCGTTGGTGTGTGTTGGGAGGTGTGCATGTGTCGCAGACCAGCGCGGAGCCCTCGAGGATATTTTAATTCTCACACCTCGAGTTCTTGTCACCGTTTGTGCACACGTGTGCACGTTTCCTTTGCAGATTGTCACAGATATGCACTGGTGTTGGGCTTTTTTCACACGCAGGCTTGAAAACCCAAACAGGCCTTCTCACAAACCTGTCGTAGGTTCTTGCTGGTGTCCCAATCCCCATCAAACTCTGCAGTGACAAAACAGGGATCATATCCATGTGTCCTGTCATCCCACCCCCCCACCCAACACACACACACACCGGCTCCGCTCTCCGGAGACACAAGGGAGAGACAGTGAGAAGGGATGGGGGGGCGCGGGCATTCCATAGGCAAGCCAAGACATTCCGAGGGAAACCATCCCAAATATTTCCCACTGTGTGCGGTGAAGACTTCACATCTCCTGTTACACGCATTTACACTCTCACACATGCAGCTTCTGATGTGTCGGAGGTGAAAAACACCACCAGAAAGTGTGTTTTCTATAAAAAAAAATGTTTTAAGTTGTATTGACAGTATGTTGCAATTCAGTTAACTTGAACTACATTGCACATACACAGGAAACTTGTGTGTGTGCATGTGTGCTTGTTTCCCGCAATCGCCACTTACAGAAGTCACAAGGAC